ATATATATATATATATATATATATATATATATATATATATATATATATATATATATATATATATATATATATATTATATATACATGTACGTATTGCTACTTATATTAAAGTGGATGGAGAGCTGTAAGATTGTATGCGGTAATTTGTGGAAATATTTCGTTTATGCATGTAACGGTTTGCATATACACATGTAAATCCTATGCGCACTTTAGATTGTACATTATCGTATGGAAACAAACATAGCTTAAACATTAATAGTCAAATTAATAGATTTTTCATTTAATGGATGGATTTTTCATAGCTGTTCTCTTACCCAGTTCATAATGTAAGGAATGTAAGTTGGGTGATTGTTAGATTTTTTCACATTTTGTCATATTTGGTTCCAGCTTTTGATGGAAAATGATTAATTTGGTGCCATTATCTAACAATATAAAGTCTAACAACTTCAGATCTCATAATATTTGCTTGGCGAAATGGCGTCGTTGATTCCGTTTAGCCAAATACGACAGAATACAGTCAATTTTTTCATGAGAAGTATATATTTGTGTGAATTTTTTCAATGAATTTTTTCATATTTAACGATTGTTGGAGGAGTGGAGTTAAATTGTAGTTGGTTTTTTTTGTGATTTACTGTACTAATATGATAATCTGCAATCTATTTAGAACCTGCTAGAGAATTGTGGAAGACGGTCACATCACTTTCGCCAGCTGGTATTAAGAAAGGGCGAGCCAAAACTCGCCAGAGTGTTTTAAACCTTCAAAAGTTTTATCGTATCGGTGCCGGTAGGTTCATTATCTCCACTTTATATTGAAGTTTAGTGCATATATTGAAAATTCAGTATATTTGGAATGGACTCTTCAGGCCCAATAAAAGTAAAGTGTCCCGGTCTGAATGCCCCTCTAACTATGCCAAACGATGAGCCAATGGCGGTGATGGAGAAAACGAAGGAAGAAGTTGATGCTGTTGAAGAACGGTTGAAAAATATCATAGCTACTCGACCCTCGTCAGTTATTTTTTGTCATATTGCTAATAAAAATTCAAGTCCACAAAACTGTTGAATAATTTGGTTTTATTTCTTTATTATAACTTAAAGTTTTTGATCCAAATTAAATTTTATAGGAAAAAAAAAGTGAAAGAGAAATTACATCCGTTGGAACGTGGTTTTGCTGGGACCCGAGTTGAAGGTCAGAAATTGGGTCCACCACCGCCTATTGGTGATATTTGTTTTGATGGCTTCCAAACCTATTGCCTTCAGGTGTGTGTTTTGTATGTAGATCCAGTTAGCAAGTTTGAAAGGAATGTTTCGATTCTGACAGTATGAGCGAGGTTGAAGTATGGAACACGAATTTTAAAGAATGATGTGTAGTAATAACAAAATTAAAGTAATGGTGATGAATAATTGATATCCTTACCACATTAATAGCGACGATAACGGTTTGCGATAATACACAAATAAAAATCTGTTGACACACTGCTCTGCTTCATCATTATCATGTTAAATTTATTTGAATTTTTCTCTATTCATTGTAGCTACGTAGAACCACAAACATGACATCGTACGGTCGGCAACACACTATGTCGGCTTTAATTGTCACGGGTAATGGAAATGGTCTTGGTGGCTATGCAATTGGCAAAGCTGGTCTGAAGCATCATATTCGTGCTGTTGTAGATGGCATGAAAATGGCATCAAGAAAATTGGTGTATGTGGAACTTTTAGAGAACCGTACAATTTATCAAGATTTTTATGCTGAATGTCGTGGTACTCGTATTTTTGCTCAGAGAAGGCCGAAAGATTTTGGTGTAGTCGCTCATCCGAGACTTATGAAAATTTGTGAGGTGAGCTTGTCTGTTTTCGAAAAAAATCTCGGCATGGTAATATGCTGGCCATCTTTTATTGAGCTTGTTGCAACTTTTCAGGCTACCATTTCTTATTTATTAATCATTCGAATCAATAAAGAAAAAAAATTTGTGCGCATGTAATGCTCCTTTTTTCTTATATGGGAAAACTTATTTCAAGGCAAGTTTTCTTTTTTTTCAGGTACTTGGTATTAAAGATCTCGAATGTAAGGTGGTGGGTTCCACTAGAAATTATATCGCACTTACGCACGCTTTTTTTATAGGTAAGTTCACTGTTTGTTATAGTTCTGTTTAATTTTTTTAAGGAAAAAAAGCATACTTAAGATTTTACTATGCAATATTGTTTGTTTTTATTTGTAGAACTTCATATCCATGTATGCTTTTCAATTCTATTCTTTTGTATCCGTCCCTTACATTCGTTAATATCAATAAAGGATAGCGGATAAATTCTGCGAAGGATAGCAAACGAACAATTTACGATGCAGTGCAGTGCGGTGGTAATGAGAATTTGTATATTATGATCATCTGCAGCTTTTTCTCTGAAGTTTAATATTAATTTACTAGTTCTCGGTTGACAATATCGACTTAATGTTCCTCAAAATTATTCCCACTCTTCGGTCATTGTTTCGTCTGACTTGAGCAGCAAATTATGAAAAAATTGGAATCCTTATTTGATTGTCAAGTGTATGTTCTGGGTTATCTCCCTATTACCCAACAAACCTGATGATTCTTTATTCCATCAGTTGACGTCTTTCAGTGCTTTTTCAAAAAGCTTATTTTGCTGAATTCAGGTTAAGAACTTATTTGCAAGAATGACGAATCATAATTCAATTTCTGATTAGTTTAACCGAAATTTGTCAAGTTTGTATAGTTATGGATTATATTCATCATACTTTTTGATTTGTGTATAATGTTTATATAATGCTAGTTGACATATGATACCTTACATTTTCATTTGATAGTTTTTGGTACCAAAAGTAACCTAGATACGGGTATTACTATTACCAGCCCAATCCAAAAGGAAATTCGATTGACTAAAAAACATATCTTCCTTCATTTCCACAGAAAGTGCCACGCAATGAGTGTGAAAGTTGCCAGTTCTTACGAATTTCTTCACAAAGTCAAAACCAGATTATAAGTGGCAGGTAGTTACATGTTATCTGCTGTTTGTACATTCCTTATTTAACTTAATTTTGAGGATACAGAGTGGAAAGGTTCATGGATTTAAATTATATTTCTAACTACGCTTTTTCCTTCAAAACTATCCGAAATGGTAACCATAGAATGGACATGTTAGATAATAAATTCTAAATAATTGTTCTCGAGAGTGTCATTAATTGTAAGTTATTCTGGTTTGGATATGGTTTCGGATGTTTACTTACGTGTTTTCTATTTTATAGTAACTTAAGTTTTCGTGCACTCCATTTTTAGTCTTTTATTAGGATTCCATGTGATTGTTTTCAGGTCTTTTAAATCAAGAAACTCATCAACAGCTTGCAGAACGCAAAAAATTGCATGTTGTTGAACTTTCTCCACATAGGAGATATTTTCCTGTCAAAGTTGCTTCTCCTTTGCAATCAGAATTAAGAACAGAGCGAGATGTTGAACCTAAAGAAGTGAGTTCAATGCCTTATTATGCTCTTTTCATGACAGCTAATGATCAGAAAGTTTTATGTCAAAAAAATCCCGATACTTTTCCCTTAAAATGGCGCAATTGTTTTTTTTCTATTTTCACAAATTAAAAATTGATAAGGTAAATTTATTATTGATGGAAAACTTAAAATTTTCAGAAATTATTGCTAAATGATTTTTATGGTGAAGGGCGTTTGCCATTGATCAAAAAGCAGGTCCCTTTTTATGCAAATCTGCCTAACCACCTTGCTGCCGAGGCGCTCAAACACCGCTTCCGAAATAGGGATAAAGTATCCATTACTTTTTCTGTTTTTTGTTTTTTTGTTTCTTATTTTTTTAATATTAGGGCAAGAGCAATAATTTTTTGTAAAGCCAAAAGAAATGAGCCCTCATTCGTATTGAGCATTTTTAATAGACTGTAATTTGATCATGCATGAAACATATCTTAAGCTAATTAAAGTTATCACTTCATTAAAAAGTTATTGTTTCGTTATTTCCTAGAGCATGATACGGTTGATGGCAGATGATGTTATACCGCGCTGGACTCGTGATGAGCGCCGGAAATGGGCTGAACGAAAATACCAGGACATGATAAATGGATTGGTTCCGTTGCCGAAAGGAATTGGCTTGTCGGGAATTCTTCCAAAGTCTGAAAAAAGATAATTATTGATTGAATATTGCACTTTTGATTTCGTTGAGTAGTAGAGCTACACGAACTGCAAAATGTTTCTCATAAGTGGTTTGTTCGCATATCCCTTCCTTGTGTTGAATTTATGGAAAAGTTTCTGCAAGTTTCCTTCATAAACACTTGGTCAACTATTGGTTTGTCGTGGACCCAGTTATAATTTCATCTACATACATCCCAACTCCTCCTAGTCGCTATTATTACATATCTCGATGGCCATTTCCAGGAAAGACCTCCATAACAATCTCAGCACGATACTGAATTAAGTTAAACTTGCAGCGCTCAGTGAAATGTTTCCGTCCCATTGAATCATGCGTCACTGTCAATCTTCACTTTGCTTGGCTGATACTGATTAAATACGATTTGTGCTTTGAAGATTGTCAATGTCCATGTGCGATCCCGCAAACGACCAGACATTCTTAGTCTTCGAAGCAAGATGATATTGGTAAGAAGCAAAATGGTGCTAGTACTGTTGATGAAAAGATGGTACTGTCCATACGAATTACTGCTTCGAAAAGTGTTAAGCTCTGTACCAAAAACACATCGATTACATTTTGTCGGACAAGCAACGGGATATGACTTTGAAAAAATAGTCTAGATTATATTAATGGTGTTCGGCCATTTGGGAATAAATTGTTAGTGCAAGGCCTTTTATGGTTGGTGACATTGATCATAAATGAAGTAGAATGGGATTTGTAGAAGTGGAAAATCGTTGCATCTTCAGTTGCAATACCGCTGGCGACTGCTGGTATCAGGATGGAGCAGTAAGTAAATATAAAGGATTGGTTTCAGTAACATTCCACCATCGGTTTGGATGGTTAGTTATCTATAAGGCATTAAGCTTGAATGTTGGGCAAAGAATCGGGAGGTGGTTCTGAAATGTTGGACAGTCTTGGCATTCAGTGGTAGTGAACTGAATATAATTGTTCGAAATTATAATTTCTGGTGTTCTTAATCGAAAAAGAGCGAAGATTTTACCGAAGGTATGCATGGTTGTCAATGTGATTATCCCTATTGATGGTAAGAAGTTCAGACCATTTAATGAAGGAATCGATAAGGACCAACAAAGAATTCTGCATAATTAGTGGTGAATCGTCCCCAAGACTAGCATTCTGTTTGAGGCTGAAAATCAATTTGGTCTTGTGAGGAGAACTACTTGCTAGCTGGCAATGGTGACCGTTGGGAACAAAACTTTCAATGCTTACTCTGTTCATTTTGAGTGATGTAGAGATTATAAAATAAAAGGCATTTAATGGCAGGACATCGTCCATATGATTGATTTGGACTATTTCACTGGTGGTATGCGAAGATTTGATCAACGCTTTTTTGATGTAAAAGTGTTGACAATTTTCGGAGCAGTAGTGCATGGAAAGTATTATTCACATCTCTGTTACTAATTCTGAATAGGTCTTTGAAGAATGTCTAGGAATGTCTGGATGTTTTCAAAATCCTATACGAAATCAATGCTGAAGAAATAATTAAATGAGACAAAAGCATTGTGCTGAAAATGTCGCGAAAGTTTCTCTTGAAAATTGGAAAAAAAATCCCTTGGACTAAAGGTGATAAACATTAACAGTAACCACGGAGGAAATCAGTCACTTCTTTTTTCATTCTTTTCCTATCGACTTGTCCCTGCCGTGTGAAGCGTTTTGTGAATTCGCAAACATTTAGTACTACTTTAATTTTCTCTGCTTACGACCAAGCTTTAATTGCCTTTGCAACGAGCACTTATATTTTTTTTCACGTAAATTTGCAAATCTGTAATATAACTGTAAAATCGAAAGTGAAAGCGATATACTTCACTTCTACTACTACTCGAAGTGACATAGTTGGTGTGGTGACTGCAAGATTAGGTTATTTTTCAGAAGGATCTGTAGATTTCAAAGCGGGTCGAGTTGGGAGTCTAGGAAGTCGTGATGTGTGAGGGAGAGCAGGTGTGGTTTGCACTGATATTTCATTGTGTTTGTGTTCGTTTTATTTGAAATGATATCAGAATCTTTCAGCAGTTGAAACATGGCAGACACGAAGGCTCTACCCGTGTTCGCATTTACGGACGACCGGATACAATTACAGCAACTGCGTGCGTATATGAGAGAGCATGGCTCGCCAATCGACGAAGAAGGTCTGTTCACATTTTTATATAAATAGAGGAAGAATATCTGATTTATAACTTACTAAATTAATCACAGTAAAGGAGACAGTTGCGACTTTCAGGACCTGCAGATTTCAATGAGAATTTGGAAGAGTTGGTTAAAGCAGTCCCTGTTCTGGGTAATTTGGAAAATGAGAAGGAAGTGGAAATGATTTTGAATTCAATATCATCGCTTATTGTTGTGCTTACACCGGAAGCAGCTGAAAAAATAATCATCGAGTTCTGTCAGCAGCTATCTTCGGAAAATTTCAAAGGCACTGGTTGGAATAGCAGTGTGAGTCGTTCGGTCTTTTCGTTAATTCTCTTATTGCTACTCCAACTCCACTTTGTAACAATAAAACTGTTCCCACAACTCATTTCTGGGCTTTTGATATAATCATTGCTTATTGTTATTGTCTGCACTGATATCTATTGATGAAGCTAATAGATATCACATCCAAATTCAGATTGCAAACAAATGATGTAATGTGTTTTCGGTTTCGTCGAAAATGTAAAAAAAAGTACCTGTATGATTCGGCAGTTTTCATCCATTTCTTCATACTGCAATGGTTTAGAAGCTGGGATTGATGAATGGCTAGTTTTTTCGTTTCTTTTTTCAGTACTTATTATTTATGCAAATTTTCAGGCCTCTTCAGCTGTTCGAACTCTTTCAAATTTATTTTTTGCTTTTAATAAGCATCCACGAGTGCAGCATGCTCTTTATGTTGCATTGGTAGCTTTGTGCGGACGAGCGCGAATTATCGGAGATTTGGATACAAGTACTGAGAAAGTGAATGAATACATCAGTCGTTGGTCATTGGATCAGAAGCAACAGCGTAGTCTTTTGCGGTTGATTCATTGGGCTCTTATCAAGGACGGAAGGGCCGATCAGGCAGCTAAGGTTAGTTTGATAAAGTTTATAACAATTGGACAAAAATATTAAGTTGTACGAAAATATTTGTGGTTTTACATCGTGAATTTTAAATCATTTTAACTATGTTCTAACAAAATCCGTGCCGAGAATGCGACAAATCACACTTTTTTCTAATTGACAGAAGTTTTCTTGGTTCTACAGTCTCTTGAATTGCTGACTGTTGAGAGTCATTATTGGTAGTATATTGTTTACTGTTTTAGACGATGACAGCTTTACTGAGAACATACACCGATGCAGATGCTGCATCTGCTGTAGAAGATGCTCGTGAATGCGTGAGAACAGCAATCGTTGACCCGAAATCGTTCAGTTTCGATCACCTTTTGCGGCTCTCTGCAGTGCAGCTGCTGGAAAAAGTATAATATTTATTCAAGAAATCAGGCATTACTAAAAATACGTACATTAATTAATAATTTATTTGCAAATAATTATCAATAGGATAGTTCAATTCTTGTATATGTATATATAGGAAAGCAGTCTATGTTACCTTTTTATTTAACCTTTTTATTTATTTCTTACCACTTCATCTCTTAATAATGTAAGAATAATGAGTAGGTCTATTGCGTGATTTTGTTGTTAATTAATGTGTTTTCAGAGTGATCCACTGATGCACGAAGTGTTGAAGCTGTTTTCTCAAGGTACTTTGAAAGACTACCAGACCTTTGTCATGAAACATCCAACTTTTATTAATGAGAAGTTGCATGTTGATGATAATGCTCTGATCAAAAAGATGCGGTTGCTAACGTTGATGGATATGGCTGAAAAAAAGACTGTAAGTTCTTAGTGATTCAGCAGAGCAAAAAATGAAATTTAAAGGATTTTGTAATTGTATATGTGACAAATTATCCACTTGTTTTCATTTTGAAATTCAGGATTTTCTTGAAATCAGGCGAGGTCAAGCTTAGACAACAGAATAAAATAATAGAGCAAAAAAAAATTCTTGGTTCCGGAAGATTTAAATTTAAATTAAAACCTATGGATTTTCCTTAGGTGAATTTGTTCAGTTATATTTGATGACAGATTATTTACAGGTTATATCTCTTCATGATTTATCGCTTGAAGTTGATATACCGGAGAATGAAGAGCTCGAGGAATTTATAATTGAAGCAATTAGAATAAATGCAATCAGTGTATGCCTATTTGTTCTTCCCAGTTTTTAAAAATCTAATTACAAAGTGTGTTTACTTTGAGAACTTCCTTAAAGTGTTTGATCAAAATATTTTGTTGTACATGGTTTTTTTCATGATTTATTCATATTTCAGGGCAAAATAAATGAGTTAAAAAAGGAACTCAGTGTGACGTCGCTTCAGCATCGAAGCTTTGGTCGTCCGCAGTGGGAGCTTCTTCGAAAACGACTTATTGCATTAATCGGTAGCTTGAATACATCACACGAAAATATCAAGAATGTATATACCAATGGTCTCACCACCTAATTTATATGTGCTTGTGTCTTATTCATTTGCATTATTTGTTGTTTATGAGATTTAGAGCGCAATATTTTTTACTTACTATGACAAAAAAAAGCTCATCGTAATTAGAAAACGAAAAGTGTAGTAAATGTTGAGTGGAGGTTTTTGATGCTAAATTCTCACCGAGTAATTGTTTGAAAAGTGACTCTCGTTAATTGTTTTAAAGATGACACTTTTGTTGGTGAATTCGTTCTGGTTATAATTTCGATAGTGTAATAAAGTTCATATGGAAATTGTCGCTGCTTTAAATTTGTGTTCGTTTGTGCAACTTTACTTTTAATTTTTATGCCGCAAATTGATTTCAGCTTTAAAGTTTTTGAAAAGGTCTGCTGTTAAGGTTTAGAGTTTTCTTCTAGATCGTTATATTTCATTTACGAATATATTTCCATCATCTTGAAAAGTGTACAATTTTTTGCTGTATATAAGGTGTTGCTGCAAACATCGTTGAATGGATGCTGGTGGGAGTAGTACTGGATCTTCCCAGGTGGAAGCTATTGATAAGGAACAAGTGTTTGAGTGGATCTTGGATTTGAGTGATTCAAATAAACGAGAACAAGCACTTCTGGAACTGAGGTACTTTTTGTAATGTTTGCTTTGGCCTTACATTGGGTTTTAAGTAGTCATAGATCTTAATGTCCATCTCCTTTTTGTTGAGTTAATACATTTCAAAACTACGATTTCGTGACATTAGACGTTTTGTGGTTGTTTTTCTTTTTTTTTTTTTTTGAAAATTTAAACGATTTTCATCCCAACGAAGTGAGTATTGGGGGTTTTTAATAGGTTAAAGTGGGTTTTTTATTTTTTATTATATGTAAAATACAGCAAAAAGCGAGAGACGGTTCCCGACCTACCTTTGTGGCTGTGGTATTCATTTGGCTCAATGGCTTCTCTGTTGCAAGAAGTAATCTCAATTTACCCTGCAATTATGCCACCGACACTTACCGCAGGGCAATCGAATCGTGTTTGTAATGCTCTAGCTTTGATGCAATGTGTTGCTTCACACAAAGAAACTAGAAGTCCATTTTTGCAGGGTAATTTTCCAAATTTTCCAAGAAATCAGTGACAGTTTTTAGGATTTGATATCTATTTTTTAATTTAGTTTAGTTTAATTCTTTTGTACCACTTCTGTGAATATATTTTTCCTGCCGATATATATTTTTCTGATATTAGCACTGTTTTAGCATACTTTACGTTTCGAACAAATGTATCAAGGTATTATATCTAACAATACGCAGTTGTTTATTTTTTTAAATTGGCGACAGAACGATGTGAAAGATTGAGGATCACTATGAAAATTTGCAAAAAATCCATTTTATGTAACAGATTATATAACTTTCATTCTCAACTAGTTATTACTGTTTTTATTCAGTTAAGGGAGCTGATAAGAGGATTGTGATAAATAAAAAATGCCAAAGCAACCGGAAAATAAGTGTCTAGTTCAAAAGGTCGAAATGTTTGTATAATTCATTTCCTTATAGCCCATATTCCGTTGTTTCTGTATCCATTCTTGCACACAACGAAAACTTCGCGACCTTTCGAATATCTTCGTTTGACATCTTTAGGTGTCATCGGTGCATTGGTGAAAACTGATGAACAGGTAAATTATAAATTATAAAAAAGATAAATTATGCCAATAAACTGAGGAATCACCAAGCTTTTAAGTTTAGTTCTAGGTAATTGTTTTTAATTCCGACCAGTTTTTTTCAAAAAGATAATTTTTTATAGGAAGTTATCCAGTTTCTGCTTTCAACAGAAATAATTCCGTTATGTTTGCGGATTATGGAAAACGGAACAGAACTGTCGAAAACAGTGGCTACTTTCATTCTACAGAAAATACTGCTTGATGATACCGGTTTAGCATACATCTGCCAAACTTATGAGCGTTTTTCCCACGTTGCTATGATCTTGGTGAATACTTTAGCTTCACGATCGGCTCTCTTGTGCATGTTAAATAATTTTTTAATGAGGTCCAAAATTACATTGTCTTTCTTGCGTTGTACCTAAATTTCGGTGGGTGAAAATAACAGTACTGTGACCTTCGATGGCTTGAACTCCTTCCCGACTATTGAAAAGGTTCTTGCATTGTTTATAGGTCTTCAAGGATAAGGTGTAAGGATAGATTTTCAAAAATATTCAACAGCAAGATGTTCTTATACAAAGCGGATTTTTATAAGCTGATTGCATCTTACTGACTAATGAACTGTGCTGATTCAGTTGTCATATTGCAGGGTAAAATGGTATTGCATTTGGCCAAAGAACCGTCACAGCGACTTTTGAAGCATGTTGTTCGGTGTTACAGTCGTCTTTCCGACAATCCAAGGCATTATTTCCTTCCATTTCATCTTATCCGACTTTAATTATGAAAAGTGTACATTCTTAACCACAAGGTTGAATCGTATTATTTCTTGCCCTTTGCAAACGAGGAAAATCATGTTTGGTTTCTATTTTCCAGTTTTAACTAGCAGGTAATTATTAATATTTTTTAGAGCGTTGCAGGCATTACGGCAATGTTTGCCGGATCAGTTGAGGGATGAGACATTTACTCGAGTTCTTGCAGATGACAAGTCAACTAAACACTGGTTGAAACAACTTCTAAAGAACATCGGTAAATGTAATATATGCACGCTAGCTTTCTGTAATATGTTATTGGAACCAGTGCTGTCATTCAGGTCGTTTTGTCATTCAATCACTTTATAAATATAGAATGCTATTTTCAGGTTTTTCTGTGAGCCCTTGAAAGAAATTTCAAGAGGCAAGAGCAAAAAATGATGTTTCTGTATAAAGCGGATTCTTATAAGCTGATCGCATGTTGTTAATCGATAAATCATGTCCAAATTCTTTTCCGAATGCAAATGCTGCTATTTGTGATGAATAATGCGAATTTGTACATCCTGGCAATAATGAACGGTTTTATATAAAAAGTTATGTAGTTGGTTATTTACCTTTCTTCTGGTATCCAGACTTTTGTTTTAATAATGAACACATGGACATCAAATTCGTCTTTCGCTAAAAGTTGAGAAACATGTCGTAATAAATGAGTCCAGGTAAAACCACGATCGAGAAATTAGGCTATTTCCGACCAAGGTAACATACCAACTTTATTTTGCACACTTCAACAATTGTAAAGATTCGAGACTTTGAGCAGCAGTTGATATTAGTGTTAGAAACAGTAAACTGTGGCAAATATTGAATCGCTTGCCTACAACAATGTATAGGCATGAAAGTTATTTCAGTGAACACTTGGCACAATGTACCGCTATTGTGTTCAAGGTTGCTGAACTAGTTTTGATATTCCACATGTTTTACTTCCATCCATTAGTTTCCGCTCCACAATACATCTCGTTATCCGAAGATCGTTCTTACTGGGATAAGCTACTAATAGTTCACCGTTGTGTTGTCTGATCTAAAATGAGCGTGGATCAAACGATGTTGAACTGCTGCAATTTCCTACATTATAATTTGTTTTTTGTATTAACACTAAGAAATTTAAGGTAATACCTCCCAAGAAATGTGGAGTGCTTATACGAACGGTCTGTAATTTACTCGGACAAGTTAAATTAAAGACATTTACTTACCTTAACCTGTTCAACAACTAAATTCGTCAAGCACCCTTGCACCACAATTTCGTCGATGAATGTATCCATTATTTCTAGACAAGCATTCTCTGTTACAGCGCTGGTTACTTCCACCAATATATCTTTCGTATCCACATCAAGCTGCAATCAAGCGTTTTAGAAAGGAGGAACTTTTTACCAGTCTGTGTTTCCGCATAAAAATATAAAACAGTATGGGACCTTTGTCTCCTCGCAATTTGTCACGGGAGGTATGCTGATAATCAAGCCATTCGCATCCATTAGGCATGGATAAAGAGGTAGCTTTTGAATGAGATACATGTACCTAGAAATGCTTACATGAAGATTTTCTGAAGAGCGCATTTATTCACTTTCCTATGCTCAATATCTTCACCAGATGTGCAATTGTAATATTTAATTTTATTCGCTTCATTTAATGAGTGAAAAAGTTTAAAAACAACCAACTTATAAGTGTTTGACACCATGTTTCGTTTTTCTTTTTTCCGAACTAGTTCCGCTTCATTTGCCAAATTCGACAGTAATTCCTTCCCAGAAATTTTTTTATGTCGATGTAATGGTGTTATCTGTAATAATAAGCTCATAATTTGATTATGAAAAGAAAAAGATATTTCAGAAAAAATATATATAAGCTACCATTAATACATCAGGATCAACAGCTCCATAAATCAGGGGAGGTTGAAGTCTACGGAAGTTGTGTGTTCCGATGCTTGCAATAGTCCTCTCTTCACAAACTGATGAATGTAACTTATTCTGAAATAAAAGCTGAGTTAAAAAAAAAAAGAAACATTTCAGAAATTTCTCGTAATGAAAATTATGTGCAGTAAGGCCTTCGTCGCAGTTTGTTTGTAAATAACCTGTAAATGAGTACATGGATTTCTAATTACGGTAACAAAATAGAAGTTAAAACACCTGAATATTTAATAATTGTTTTATTTTTTCCGCATTCAATGAGCAGTCCTTTAAAACGCAACAAACAATATATGGACGAATTTCCAACATTTCTTTCGTTCTCTCAATTAATACCTGAATAATGAAAGTTTTTAGTGATTCCACTAAATCAGCTCATAATACTTTTACCTAACAATTTCAAAAACACATTTTCCGAAACAAATCACTTACACTATTCTTTCCATAATTGATTGTGATTAATGGAATATTTGATACACACTCGTCTCTATCAATGTTATTTCTAGCTGAGTTTGGTTTGGATCCTTCATCATTATTCTTTATCAGTGTTTTTGATGCTTTCTTTTTCAGATAATCTATTAGCGCAACAGTTTTGTGCCTTGGGTCCTCCACCAATTTTTTAAAACGATTATCCGAAAATCTGAAATTACTATTCATCTATTCAAAATACAAAACCAATTCCAAACGAACCAAACGTAAACAATGAGAATGTGCTATACGACAACATGTGCCTACTTGTTGTTAGCGAGTTCTAGCGTTTTTATTTTTTTGCAATTGCAAAACAAAAATGGAAGATCGACGATTTCGTTATCTGACAAATTTACGGTCTTCAAATTGTCGCTCAGTGAGTTCACTTCGATAGGCAATTCCCTGATATGATTTGAATTAAGGATCAAAGTGTGCAATTTTGACTGAATAGGGAACGAGGTTGGAAATTCGGTTAACTGATTGTGAGACACATCAAGGTGTTGCAGAAAAACAAGGCTCGACATGTCGGGTAGTAACGAAATCTGAAAAAAAGAAAAGTATGTAGACTTGTAAACCACATGCATTTGTGTCATGCAGAAGCAATTAAAACAAAAGTCAGAAAGATCGAAAATAAAAAAATGAAGCTATACGAAATATAAAATTATATGGCAGTGTACGAATATTTTTCAGAAACATGGAAAATAAATATCCACATATACCTTGTTATGCGCAAGTAAGAGCGTTGAAAGATGAGACAAAGAACCTATTGTCACTGGGAGTCCAGCAAGTTTGTTTGTTGACAAGTCAAGAAATTGTAATTCTTTTAAGTCGCCAATATTATCCGGAATATGTACTAAAGCATTACTGTGCAATATAAGCTTCTTTAGCTTCGATGACTTCCCAACACAGGTATGCAAAATGTTCAGTTCAACCCGAGTAAGTTCAGTATAATTGAGCGAAGTATTCTAAAATGAAAAACAATGTGAACGACATTAAAATAACTGAAAGTACATGTTTATCATAACATTCACATTTATTTTGAAGCATAATTTCATAGCTCAGAATGAAAATACAGGATTAAGGTCGAAAACACTTCCAACAGCGCAATAAAAAAATGTGAAGCAACAAAAAGTAGACCCTTTTTCTTTATGAGTAAAACTTACAGAAAAAATTTCATCTTGCAACTGCTCATCGTTGATGTCTGGATTTCGATCCCCAGCTGGAATAGAAGTTAAACTAAGTTCACATCGGCCTTCCGCTATAACTCGTCTCAATTCTGGCCATTCCAATAATAGCCCGTTATCCAACATAGTATTATAGATGGACTCCAATAATGCTTGCACTCAAATCTGACTAAAGTAATATTATGAAAATATTAATTTGAACAACTTGGTACCAAATAAATTCAGAAATGCACAGGTCTATTCGAGAGAGCGGAGAATGCAGTGCTTTCCAAGTTATGTGGCCATGAATGCGTAAATTTATTTAAACTTCAAATCCTTACCAAGCAATTCGGACTCAATCAAATATCACAAGTATTCTTCAAAAAATTTGAGGTATTGAAAAAGGATACAATTACTTGCTGCTTATTTGTGCTTATTTCTCAATGAAATTTCCGCTAAGCCAATTAGCAGCTTCTAAAAACATTTTTTTACTCCGACAAACTAAAAGAAAGCCAAAATGGATAACTCTAAAGTCCAACTGTCATAATATAGTTTAACGTGCATTTTTTTTTTTTTTGAAATCACAATTAAATTTTAATCGCTACGAAAATATAGCATACCCGAGATTTTAAGAAAATGGAGGAAATGGAAAGCTAGTCTATAGCTTTTGTTCAGCTGTCGCAAATTATTTTGCACGGGTCATTTTACGAAAAAATTTAAAAGTTATGGGTAAAACATAAAATCTGCTTTAACCATAGAGTTCAGATATTTTGCTTAATAGTCCTGCAAAATAATTAATTAATGGCAGTGAGAAATCATTTAAGCATACGATTTGAATGGATTAAATCTATTGAATATGCTATTCTTTGGTAAAGTTCGAAAGCACCACGTTATCGGCGTATTAAAGTAACAATAGTATGGTATCCACAAAGTATTTAAGTAAACCGAAAATGTAACATTGCTAATCAGCGCTAAACTGATTTGAAGGATTTGAAATTGATATTGTGATCGTTCCTTATACCACTATTCTTCACAAGGAAACTGTCCTTCGTCTATTCGACCGAGAAAAAATTCTTATGCCAAATAAATTAAAAAGAAAAAAAGAAAAAAAAACTTCCCTTTTCGGCAAGGAAAGCTATCTTAATTTTTCATGAGAGTAATTCTACCAGTGATTTGTAA